GGGGGGATTTGGGGGAAATTTGGGCTGTTTGGGGTGGGCTTGAGGAGGATTTGGGGGCAATTTGAGAGGATTTGGGGGGCTCAGGGGGGATTTGGGGGTGTTTGGGCTCCGGGGCCGTTTCTGCTCCTCCCCGCGCCCCCTCCCCAAATCCCGCCCCGTTCCGGGGGTCCCGCTCACCCTCGGTGGAGTCCGGGGTGCTCGAGGCCGTGGACGGAGCCTCCTCTGGGGGGGGAACGGGGGGCGCGGGACCCCCGGGCTCGGTCCGGGACCCCCCGCCCGCGACCCCCGCCCCACGCCCGGCCGGTTCCGGCCCGGTCCGTGCCCCCCCGGTGCCCCCCCGGTAACTCCCGGTGCTTCCCGGTCCCCCTTGGTGCCCCCCCGGCACCTCCCCGGTGCCTCCCGGTGCCCCCCGGTGCATCCCCGGTTCCTCCCGGCCCCCTCATCCCGGCCACTCCCAGTCCCGGTTCCTCCCGGTTCCCGCAGCTCCCGGTGGCTCCCGGTGCTGCCCCGATCCCCGCTCCCGGTACCGGCTCCATGCCCGGTTCCCCCCGGTACCGGCTCCATCCCCGGTTCCTCCCGGTACCGGCTCCATGCCCGGTTCCCGGTGCTCCCATCCCCGGCCACTCCCAGTCCCGGTTCCTCCCGGTTCCCGCAGCCGCGGCCCCTCCCGGTTCCCTGCTGCCGCTCCCCGTTCCTCGTTCCCGGTGCTCCCATCCCCGGCCCCTCCCGGTTCCAGTGCCCATTCCCGGTTCCCGGTGCCGCTCTCGGTGCCGTTCCCGGTTCCCGTTCCCGGCCCCTCCCGCATCCCGCAGCCCCTCCCGGTTCCCGGTTCCCGGTTCTCATCCCCGGCCCCTCCCGGTGCCGATCCCATCCCCGGTTCCCGGTGCCGCTCCCCATTCCCGGTTCCCGGTCCCCATTTCCCCATCCCCGGCCTCTCCCGGTGCCGATCCCATCCCCGGTTCCTGCTGCCGCTCCCGGTTCCCATTCCCGGTTCCCGTTCCCGGTTCCCACTCCCGGCCCCCAGTTCCCATCCCCGCTCCCATTCCCGGTTCCCGGTGCTGCTCCCCGCTCCCGGTTCCCATTACCCGGTTCCTGGTTCCCGTTCCCGGTGCTGCTCCCCGCTCCCGGTTCCCATTACCCGGTTCCTGGTTCCCGTTCCCCGGTTCCCGTTCCCCATCCCCGCTCCCGGTTCCCATCCCCGTTCTCCATCCCCATTCCCGTTCCCGTTCCCGTTCCCCATTCCCGGTTCCCATCCCCGCTCCCCGCTCCCCGCTCCCATTCCCGGTTCCCGGTGCTGCTCCCCGCTCCCGGTTCCCATTACCCGGTGCCGCTCCCATCCCCGCTCCCGTTTCCCATCCCCGCTCCCGGTTCCCGTTCCCGTTCCCGGTCCCGGTCCCGGTCCGTACTGCAGTGGGCGAAGCCCAGCACCTGCCCCATGGCGGCGGGCCCCGCATGGGGGGCGCTCCCGGTCGCGCTCGGCCCCGCGGCCCCGGGCCGGCCCCGCCGCGCATCAC